TTCATGCGGTCAATTGCAAAACTAACATGAGCGTTGACTAGTAGACTTCATTCGGACCAGAGAAGTCTACTTTCGGAGTATTTTCGTAAATAAGTGAGGAAGATGAGGATTAGTTGGTCATTTAGATTTCCGAAAATAAAAGAAATTAATTAAAAATAATGGCAATTTCGTGAATAACTGAAACTATGAAGGATTGTTTGGACACAAAATGGCAAATGTTGGGAAAGTGATTTTTGTGGGTTAGATTTGCAATTCAAATCAAATTTTAGATTATTTTTGCAAGAATTCCTTAATTTAATGATTCATGTTTAATATATGTTAGATACTTTAAAAAAAATAAAGATTCACTTAAATTTTCTTTCATATTTATTTAAATCTAATTGTTTAAATTATATAAGAAATAAATATTAATTACAAAATTTTAAAACAGTAAATGCAATTAAAAAATAAATAATTAGAAAAAATTTTGTTTAATCGTAAGAAAGATTGTATTTGGTTGTAAGAATAATTTTTTAAAATTTTTAATCATTATTGGGATTTTAAAAAATCAAAATTCTTAGATAATAATACATAAGCCACTAATGCTTCCAGTTTAATATATGTTAGATAAATTTACTCTAGTTCAAATAAATTATAGCAAAAGTGTTTCAGAGTATATTATTATGAAACCATCGAATTCACATAAGAAAAAAACAAAAATTCGGATTCCAGTTTTGTATATGTTCACAGTGCTTATATGTGAAAAAAAAACACTTGTTTAGGGCATCAGATTTTTGAAAAATGTTTAAGAGTGTCTGGATATTTGAAAATTCTGAAAAGTTAGAGCATAGATTGTTAAATTCTTCTAATTATGATGAGCGATTTAGCAAATTCTTGTCTACATCAACTAGTTTAACAAGGTGCAGACAATCAATCTAAAAAAATATATATATATATATACAGATATGCTTTTTTAAAAAAAAACTCCGAATACTTTTACTTCAAAAAACTAGCTTACTGGTCTATTTCTACTCAAAATCAACAAAATGCTAAAAGTTGGATGAGAATAGTCTTACTCTTACGCAAATTTCAGATATAAGAGATTCCAAGATCAACATCACGATATTGTGTACTCACAAGGAACAAAGACAAACATGTATTGTTGGCTTAATCTCATATCTATTTGTAAGTAGATATAAATTATAACCATTAAAAACTATGACTTTCAAACTCTAGTAGATCTACTAAATAAAAGGGAAATGAGCTATCAGTGTTCTCCAAAATATTTGTAATTAGCGACCGATTTTTTTCTCTTTTATTTAGTAGATCTACTAGAGTTAAAACTGAATTTTCTTTTGTTTGGAATAATTATAATATAGAAAGATCTAACAAATGAAACACAAAATGAAACCAACAATCTTTTCCGTTGATTTAGAATTTTTTTGTTAGATGATTCTCTCTCTAAAAAAGTTTTGTTTGGCTCTAGAAACTTATATGTTTGAAACTTAATTAAGTAAAGGTATTTCCTGACCAAATACGTTGTAAATGTCGTTCAGTTAATGCATTCTTTCAACTTTACTATATGATTCCAAAACTTTACAATTACGTTATCCTGCAACTATACGTATTGCTTTACAATAAAATGTCACTGTATTTATATGAATGATACTATATATAGTTAGTCTTATAAAGTGATCTTGATAATATAGACGCCAAAATAGAATCACAAAGTGCACAGTCATAGTCATAATAATATATCTGTTATATTCGTTTCCATAATGAACTAGATGTTTCGTAGACGTAATTACGATGGCTATGTTAACATCATTAATCGTTTTGCTGGCATACTTTTCTAGAGATTGGTAAAAGGTATACGAAATCTCATGGTATTACATTAGTCGCTTGTAGGTATGTGTAGTGTGTCTCCATATCTTATTTTGTTTGCTAATTATGTGTATATATATCTTAATGTTTTTTTTCTTCCATATCTAATGTTCGGTTTGACTTTAACCAATATATATATATAGCTTAAATTCTTGTGAACTCCTCTTGTGAAATTATCAGACGGATTATATATAGATCGATTTAAACCACAAAATATCAAATATATAAACTACGAATTTTATTTAGTCACAGATACATGAAAACTAAACCAGATTTTATAATATCCTCGATTTCTTAGAACATTAAAATTTCTAATTATTAATTCTATTTCAATATAAATACAGTATTATTTAAAGGAAAAATGATTGTCAACTATACGAAGTATAAACTATCACATGGCTACACATGCAGAAAATATTAATGTATTCAAAATTACATGATCTATATGGTTAACATGACAACATCTATGAACTAAATGATGTTATGTCGCTAACATCACAACTATTTTTTCCACTACCAGGAAAATGTATTCAAAACTACACGAACTACTAACAAAAAAGCTACACAGAACTATATTTATAATGATAATATATATATATATATTAGTATATTTAATCTTTGAAATTTACATATTATCAATAAATCAATTTTTTAGTTAAAAAAATATTTGAAAAATTATAGTTATATATAATTAAAAATTAAATTGATTATCAATGGTCAATAATTTGTATATTATATACTTATGTGCTTTTAAAATATCTTGTCAATTTTTTGGCTATATTTTAGTATGTAAATTTTGTATATATTATAAAGACCGTTTTGTTTGTACTATGTATATATAGTAAAATCAATATATTTCTTAAACTTGAAAAGAAATCTTTATATAAAATTTGTATCATTTTAATTATTGTTAACTTAAAAAGATAGGAATTTTAATTTTCGTTTTCCTATAATTTAAATTTCATTTCACTATTCATAGTACAAAGAATATATTATTTTCTAATATATAAGGAAATTACTATATATATAATTCAGATAAAATGATTTTGACTTTCGTTTTCCTGTAACAAATTGATGGATTTTCATCCTCCCTGGCGAATATAAACAATTTTAAACTTACCTCACTATAAGACATCCATCTATATCAATATATGATCAATAATTTAAAGTTTAATTAGGTATGTGAAGGAATGCATGGGTTAACACTTATGTATGAATACTCTTAGACATTCCCATTTTCGTTTTCCTATAACTTTTTATAAGGAAATAACAAAAATAGTTTATATGATGTACTATATATACATAATTAATGAATAAAAATTATATATTGAAAATATAATGTTGTTCAATATACTTTAAAAACAAACTATAAACTGTTTAATGAAAACAATTATAATAACTTTGATTGAAAATTTGTCAACTAAAAGCATTTGCAAATATATAAGAAATTTACTATACATTTCAGATAAAATGATTTTAATATATATATACAAACTCACATACTAAAATATAGCTAATAAATTAACAAGATATTATAAAATTACATAAATATATAATATACAAATTATTGACTATTGATAATCAATTTAATTTTTAATTTTATATAACTATTATTTTCACATATTATATTATAATTAAAAGAATTGATTCATTGATAATATGTAAATTTTAGAGATTAAATACATTAATATTCTCTGCATATATAGTCATATGATGGCATGTACTTCGTATTGCTGACAATCATTTTTCCTTGTTTAAACACTTTTCAGGCAGAAATATTATCTATTATGCTGTTACAAATAAAGCATTGTGAGTTGTGTGATATTTCTATTTTCTAATTGTTCAATAATTCTAAGTTCTAACTTCTCACTAAAGGCACAATTAGATTTTCTTTTAATCAAATGCTCGAAACGAAAATAAAATAAAATACGCTTAAGCGATTCTTTGTAAAATCGAAGAAGATTAGTGGAACATACAAAAAATAGAGTTAGATTTTATGCAAACTTAATTCCTAAAGTCAGAACACAAAGAACCCATCAAGGGCCAGCCCAAAGTTGAGATCAGGCTACATTTTATGAACACATATGAGCCCATAAAATGCAAAAGGCATATACTGTTTACAATAACATACTTTTTTAAGAGGATTCACGGTATAATTATTTCGTTCATTACTTTTTGGATCATTAAAAAAGGTTTTGAAAACCTTAAAATATGCCATCTTTGAATGCCAATCAAATACTGGTTTTCCTACGTCTTATATTTTGCGTTTTTAAACCGTAAATTGCGGGAACAAATATCGTAGTCGCTTTATTTTATTTATTTTTTTGACCAAAAGGTTTATTTAAAATTTTCATATCACAAAGTTAGGTAGTTGTCGTTGAAACTTGAAACTCTTGTGCTGTCCTTCTGGGGCGACGTTGTCATCGTCGAGCTTATGAACAAAAATAAAATAATAGTTTGCTTTAAGACAGACAGAGAGTCACAGAGACACTAATGAGATTAAGTCACTACTAATTATTTTGTTAAACAAAGCCAATTTCAGAAATTCCTTCAAATTGTTAAACTCGGGGAAAAGATTGATATTTTTTTAAAACCTAAAACGACAAGAGTGCTACTAGTATCTAATACTGTTGTCAAATCAATAATTTGAAGGAATTATTTGATTTCAGTATTATTTAATGCTTAGTGGATATTTCAAGTCTGTGTCGACGTGTCGTCGTATATACTACAGTTCATGTGATCAATAATACAGCTGTTAGTCTTAAGATGTGTATCATACTATCATTGGCTTATTTTATAAAATATTTTAAATCAGAATTATTTGATTTCAGTAAAATAGGTTATTTTTTCGAATATTACGTACACAAACACACGTTAATTTTGTCCTAAATCACTAGAAACAAATCAAGACTTTTGTCTCTGGACTATTATTTCCGCTAATTTCTATTCCTAAACGAGTGGACTCATTTAAGTTACACCCTTACCAATGTTTACCTTACACGTACTCACGTAGCAAAATAAAGTTAAGAAATACAGAGCTTAGTGTGAATCTCAAAACTGTATTTAATACCGTTCAATACTAATAAATCTTTTTTTTTAATTTAGTAATAAATCTTGTTTACTGTGAAGTTAGAAGATGCCAATGTGAAGAAGTCTATCTATAGTTTACCCAAAAACAGCGTCTATAGGTTTATCTTAAAATACAATATTATACATAACGCAAAGCAAATATTACAAAGATTGTTAATCTTGAGTTTTCTTTCGACCGACAAAAACAAAAAAAACAAAAACAGATAACAATTTACACAACTCTGAAAGATTCAAGTTTCCACTTACAAGCCAAAATTTTCACATTACTTACTCGTTAAAAAACAAAAACTCCATTTAGGGAATCTTCACACTTCGTTTCTCTGCAAAATGATTTACCAAAGCAAGAGCATTGCTAGTGACTTGAGCCACGTGAACCACTTTAAACCGAATCAGCCTCTTCACTTTACCTTCCATGACTCGACCCGAGAATCCATCTAGACACGTTGTTTCGTCCGTCAAAGCAGCACTAACCCATGTCTGAACGTTACTCATCTTCCACATGAAGTCCTCACTAGCCACCGCATGGCCAGCTCGACCCAGTTCTTTAACCGACTGGCCTAACCGGTCCACGCTATTGCCTAACACTTCTATGCAATCTTGAATTGCTAAATATTCTCTACGTTTGAAACTTGGCGATCTACATATATACAAAATTTAGCTGATTGAGAACAAAAACAGAAAATATAATTATTTTGTAAACTTGTGTCATAATACATAGGCTTTAGGAATCTATTGGTTATAGTTTACAAACGTAAGTAATGGTATGGAAAACATACTCTTTGGTTAGTTTGGCGACAAATATAGCAACGGATCTGGCTCGAGCCAAGCTGATGGTGAGAGCGGTTTGGGCGAGATCTTGGTCATTGTTGTGGCGAATCATGGTGGCGTAAGCAGAGAGAGTATGCACACATAGTGATGGATATCGAGTGGTTTGGCATGATGATTCGATGAACCGGTCTCGTTCGGACCGGTTTGGGTTTGCGGATGAAGACTGGAGAATGGTTGTTGACAGGAGTAGAAGTAGAAATATTGTATTTTTAGGCTCCATGATGTTTCTTTTCTAACTTGTGTTTTTGTATATTTTTTTTTTAGCAGTGAAGAGAGAGTATACGAGGGATTGCTATATATAGGATTTGATTTAGGTAAAAGTTGAGACTGACTCTTTTGCATATAATCTTTTTTATATTATTATACTAAAAAAAAAAATCGGTAGATAGATATCGCTGTCACTATGGTTATATCCCACTGACGCAATCTAGCTTCACGTTGTGATCCTTCTACATATTAATCCCACTGACGCAATCTAGTATAAGGATGAGTCATCGATCAACACATATCCATATGACATAAGTAAAATTGAAAATAGTAATGTTTGTATCTAAATTACAATTGCAACTTTCTATTTTTAGTTAATTACTTTGTCTCAATAAGTGTTTTTTTTTTTAACATTTTGTTTTATTAATTTTCATTTCGAATGATTACAAATATAAAAGAGTTATGACAAATAAAATACAGAGAGAAATCAATAATCCTTTCCAGCAAACTAATGAAGATGCATTTTTTTTATGATACATTGGCTATACCAAAACAATCTTGTTCTGAAGCTTGAAAATATTTATGAAAATATCGTCAATACTAAAACTTTTTATTTTTAGTTAATTACTTTGTCTCAATAAGTGTTTATTTGAGATTTCTTGTATCTTAATTGAACCAAGATCCAAACTAATTCGGATGCTTTGTCATTCAAAGTTACTAAGTGATTCAAAGTTACTAACTATAATACTGAAATTGCAGTAGAATAATTCGAATTTTGGCGAACCCATCATCAATCAGTAGATTATTTTATTTGCAGTGCTTATCCATATCATAATGGAAGTGGCGACAATGGTCTCATGCACATTCACATGTATCTGTTTACTATTTAGTTTTCAGCGGATGGATGAGCTTTGAACCCGGGAAACCAGGCCTGCTGTTAGATATTTACGTATAGAAAAAGTTTTTTAAATTTTATTCGGTCAAATCCAATTTAATGGTACGGAGTTAATATCTTTTTGATAAAAGTCTAGGGTTGCCATGATTTTTTTTGTCTGCCACCATAAAAAAGACCAACTCATTTGAAACGAAGATTCCGCGATCAAAGGAAGTTCAAATTACGACTTTGGTAATAAACTACGATAGTAACAACAATTGTTATTCTATTTTCGAATTATAATTTATTTTATTTCAATTTTAAATATCTATTCATATTTAACACTTTTACCCAAAAAACAACTTATGTAATTATATGAATTTACGCAAGAACCTTTACTTATATAAATCGTATGGTAGCAAGTATCAGTGGAAGTGTTTTTTTTTAATAATTATTTTATATTATTATTGAATATATTTTTATCGTATTTTATTAATGAACGATATATCAACAATATATTTGGTTGAAATGATGAGTTTGACGTCTATGCATATTGAATGACTCTCTGACACCATTTCTAATGTATTTCTCCATTTTCTACTTTAAAATAGAGTAATTCTAAAATGAAGTTGTGTTTTACTTCAATATATATCTCTATTTTTTACTCCAAAAAGAAATATTCTAAATATATTCTTATCCTATTTTATTATTGACACCTTTTAGTTTTAAAATTTACAAATAAATTCTACTTATTTTATTATTTAGAATTTCTTTCAAAAATTATAAATTAAATATTTATTAAATAATAAAAATTACATAATATCACAAAAAGCATATGCAAATTTAGTAAACATTACTATTATTGAAATTTTTATCATTAACTTTTTTAATATTTGTTGTCTTAAATTTATTTATATTGTATATCTGAATTTCAGCACTTATTATGTATTTTAAATTTATTGTATTTTGCAATCTTTTCTAGGAATAATTATAGTGTTTAAATATTTATAGTTATCAGTTTTATAATATTTATAAATATTAAATAGTATAAAATATAATTATTTTAAATCTAAATGATTAATTTGCAAATAAAAAAGTTCAACTCCAAAATAGAGTAGAGTTTAGATCTACTCCAAATATGGAGTAGAATTTAGGTTTACTTCATTTTAAAGTTGAAAATAAAGTAGGATTGGAGATGATTTTACTTCAAAATAGCATTTGGAGTTAAAAATAGAGTAGGGTTGGAGATGCTATAACCAACTATTTTCTAATAGTTGGGGCGGGCTTCACAATGGACGAGTGTGATGAAGTAGCATATCTATTTTTTCTGAACGCTTCTCTGATGAGATGCATCAAAGAAAAATGTGTATAAAGAGGGAAGAGAGGGCCTTTGGAGAAGGGACACTAGAAGGAGGCTGATAGCTAGATTTTTACACTTAACACTAATAAATTAAACTTCAAATTCTTCGTATAAGTATAGCACTTGAGGTATTGAATTCACATAGACCAAAGATTGCAACACTAATGATGCAAAATTCAAAATAAGCTAGAGCAAATCATGTTTTTGGGTTTTAGTTTTTGGGTTTTAGTTTGCTTAATCTAAAAGAACAAGAAAATGCAAAAAGAAAAATAAAAGATAAATCATAAATTCAACCATCATAAGAATAAGTTAACAATCAAACAATGATCAAGAAAATTGATTAACCACTATCTACAACACGAAGTCACAAATTTGACTAATCCACTTTCATGACATTAATTACTTTGCTAATTATTTAAGCAAAAGCTAATTATTATTAGTAAAATGATAATTAATAAGCATGAATGACAACTTCAATTAGTTCACTAAACACTCTAGACATCAACTCTTATGGACTAGGCATATACAGCTTATAAAAAGTTTAATTCGGATATTTTATCAAATACTTTGTGGGTAAGAAAATGGTCTAAGATCAATATAACTTTTCCCAAACTAATCTAGCACTAATAACAACCTAAATGAAGGATCTAACAAGATAGAACCTAAATTATCAATATATAACCATCAATTCATCTTAATCTAGCAAAACCCATGATTTGATCAAAAACCTAAAAGCTAAGTATGAAGAAGAGCATGATGAAAGATACAAACATAAAACTAATAGATAAATGTGAAGAATCATTCAAAGTGGTGTGATTCATATATATCAATCCAAATAATTCATAAAAAGAAAGTTTGGATCAAAACTCAACTCTAGAAAGAAGAAAAGTTAGGTTTTTAGGTGGCTACAAGAAGTATTTATAGCAAGAGGAAGGGAAATCCGGGTCAATTTGGCCAAAGGTTGGTTTTAGGCTTCTTATCAATAAAGCAAACCGATATGGCCTCCTGTCCACTTCATATAAATGTTTGACATCGATATGACATCTCGGGCTGGTGGACATGTGTTGCTAAAACCACAGTATATTCCTAACTACTCATATGAATAACTCGAGACTACTACCATTTGAAAGCTGATTCAATGTTTTTCATCTCTGTAAACCATTTAGAGCAATTATCATTTTTGAGAATTACATGTTATATTAAAAAATAAGGTATAACTGTATAAGTGATATAAAATTGGTACTGTGATTTAGACGTTTTTACAGTTATTACACAAATCAAACGTAGTTCAAAAGTAAACAAACATGCAATAAATGAAAAATATGAGAGTTTGCTAAGTAGAGATTTTGAAACTTGAGATAAGATATGATATCTAAAATAGTTATCCATTAAGACTTGTTAAAATTAAATGTAGGTTTTTAGAAATGTGACATTTAAATCGTTTGTGTACATTTAATGATTATCAAAAATTTGTTTTCTCCATTTAAAGATGTGCATTTTTTTACATCTTAATATATTTTATGGAGTTAGGTGGGAGAGGGGACTCCTCAGGGGAGGGGGCATAAATCCAATTTCATCAATCTAATTTTAACAAATTTTCTTGGATTTGGCGGAAATAGAGAATTTCTTGGTTTTGGTAGAAAAATGTGATTTTCAGTTTTGGCAGGAAAACATAGTTTCTCGGTTATGGTGGAAAAAAGCGAATTCTCGGGTTTGACAGAAAAATGTAAATTTTTGATTTTGATGAAAAATAAAAAATTTGATTTTGACGAGAAAACGCGAGGGAAATACAACTTTTCAATTTTGACGGAAAATACGATTTCTCGGTTTTGATAGAAAATGCAAATTTTTGGCTTTTGATGGATAATGTAATTTTTTGATTTTTGCGAAAAATTGTAATTTGACAATTTTGGCAGAAAATGCAATTTTTTGGGTTGATAGAAAAGCAAAATTTCTCGATTTTGGCGGGAATAAACAATTTCTTGGTTTTGATGGGAAATGCAAATTTTCAGTTTTTGACATATAATTTGATTTTTTGGTTTTCGAGGAAAAATATGATTTCTTAGTTTTTGCGGGAAATGCAATTTCTCATGAGATAATACAATTTTTGATTTTTGCGGAAAATTGTAGTTTATCGGTTTTGGTAGGAAGACGTGATTCTTGATTTGACGAAAAAAATAATTTTTTCTTGTTTTGGTGGGAATAGACGATTTTTGCGGAAAATTTTTTTTTTGGTTTTGACGGGAAAATACTATTTTTTTTGTTTTTGCAGGAAGATGAAATTTTTTGGTTTTAGTGAAAAAACTTGATTTCTCTGTTTTGACAGGAAAACACAGGTTATAGCGGGAAAATGTGATTTTTTGGTTTTTGAGGGAAAATGTAATTTCTTTGTTTTGGTAGGAAAATGAAATTTCAGGTTTGACGAGAAAATGATTTTTTGGGGTTTTGGGAGGAATAGACGATTTCTCAGTTTTGTGAGAAAATGTTTTTTTTTTGTTTTGTCGGAAAATGCAATTTCTCGGTTTTTGTAAAATGATAAAATTTCTCTGTGCTAATTTTCAAAGTTACAATATGTTTATAATAACCAAAATTGAATTATTTAACTTCAACTAAATTGATATTTCAACAGTTCAAATAGAACTTTCTATTTAGTTCTAAAGTAATAGTAATGATTTTGATATAAATGTTATTGATTATAGTTTGGTAGTTTTAGAAACATATGTCTATAATAAATATTTGATAAACAAATAAATTTTATAGTTTAAAATAATCATATTAATTAATATTTTTTCAAATGGCAATTTGCTTTATATAATTTTAAAAGAGGATTAAGTAGCAATTTAGTAGAGAAAATAAATTACATTTACCATTAGCATGAAGATACTTAAAAATGTATTGTTTTATTCTTACATATACATTTATAGATAGTTAACTAAACAAATTTGATAGTAGATTAAAAATTTTAAAAAATTAAAAAATTAATGATATATAATGTTTATTAAGATTTAAAACATATAAATACATAACTTAAGCTAATAAAAAATAAATGTAATACTCATTTACATTATAGAAATAATTTTATTATATTAAAAATATATACAAATCTAGAAAAAATATTCCGCAGCATAGCACGGATAAATACCTAGTTATAATTAAATAGATGTTTTTATTCAAATCAATTGAAACATAAACACGTCAAATGATTTCCTAAAGATGTCAGTTAACACGTTAGAGCGAAAAAAAAAAATTTCCCAAGAGTGTTCTTTATCTCTATGGACCATTTGGAGCAAATTGTTTTTTTTTTAGAATCACATGGTAGATAAGAAAATTAGGTAGAATCGTATAAGCGATATAATAGATATTTCACCAAAAAATCTCATTTTAAGTTTTAATTTTGGAAGAATTACTAGAATACACGTTTAAAAAGGAGTTTGGACTAGAATAACCGAAATTTGTTTTATTATTGAAATATTTCAAATATCTTTTATAATTTATTTTATTATTTATACAATTTTTATTTTATTTTAGAGTTTTCTATAGTTTTTAAGTTTTCTTATATAAAGTCGTTTAGGCCTAATGTATTATTTAGTTGTTGATTTTTAATAAAGAGTTTTGGCTTTTGAGAGAGTATTATCTATTTTTTATTTTCGGCAGATATATCAAGATCTCAACGAGTTCAAAAAACAGGTTTCAAATAAAAATTCCATTGAATCATTTGGTTGAACTTGCAGGTCCCAATCAATTCCTTAAATCTTTTGGTTGAACTGTTTAGTGTTGCTTCCACTACATCAGAAAGTGGTGTTTTCTTAATTAGGTCTAAAGTTGATTTATAGTTATATTCGACAACAATTATTTCACTATTCTTATATAAATTTGGTAAGGATGATTTACCAAATACCAATCAGTGTGCAAATCCAACAAAATATTCAAAAGTTACACCTAATCAAACATATTAGAAACATTATTTATTTGGAAAAAAACCACATTATATAATTGTATGAAT